GTTCAGATTTCTATTATCCTAACAGGTGAATCCTAAAAGCCCCCTTCAAATCCCAGCCAAACATGATTAGGAGGCCATAGGGTTACAGTCTGATCCTGATCTTCAGAACAAGAATCATCACATCACACCAATAGGTCCTCCAGAATCATGGTTATATGTCAATGCAGGAAGGGCAAGAATGGCCTGGCCACCCTGTAACCCTGAACTGAGGGAGAACAGAATGGTTTTTGTTGTTTCATGGATGTATTACCTGCTTCTAGAAAAGGGTCTGATGCACAGTAACTATTTGCTAGGTGGAGGAATGTGTTGATGTGCATGAGAAAGGATTCAGTGATCCACAGTTCATAGTCCCTAGTTGTGACCCTGTACACCCTGGCTATGCCACAGTTTTTTTTTTTTTATCTTTTCACTTCTTGCTCTTGCTCAAGATCGTGTCTGTTCCTTCAGGAAGAGTTTTGCTGAAGAGTTACTCATTCAGTCTCCCCATAAGTATTTATTAATTTCATCCTAGTATTACTTATTACTTTGGGGGGAAAAAGGTAGGATATCTGCAAGGTCTGTTGAATGCTGCACTCTAAGAAATGACCCAGAAATGACAGGTTTCAAGATTAGTTTGCCAGCATGAGGTAAAGTATTAGAATATCAGAGTGAAATGTTGAGATCACATACCAGGAAGCTCTGAGAACCCAGGGGAGGACTCAGCAAGGATGAGTTTCATCTAATCCCGTGGTCATGGCCATGTCCTTGGACATTCCTCGTTCTTCAGTAAAACAGGCTAAACTCATAACCACTCCTTGAGCACAACATTTCCTGAAGAGTTACATAACTGTACCAGTTTGTGCTGGCTGCCACACCAAAATGTCACAGACTAAGTCTCAAAAGCAACGAAAATGCAGTCTCACAGCGTGGAGATTGGAATTCCTAGGTCACAGTGTTGACAGGGTTGGTTACTTCCATGAATTATGAAAGCAGTATCTGCTGTCTATGTGCCTCCTTAGGTTGAAATTGAACATCTTCCTATATAAGCTCCACGCACGTCTCACTGTGTCCAAAATGTTTCTTTTCATAAGGGCAGTATCATATTAAATCTAGGGCTACCTTAATGCCTTATTTACCTATAAAAACTTATATCCAAATAATATCACATCCTGAACACATAAATTTGGAAAGTATACAATTTATCCATAGCTTTAATGTAATTAGGTCTGTTAAAAATTTTTTTATGCAGGCTGGGAAGGTGGCTCAGTGGTAGAGCGCTTGCCTTGCATGCACGAGGCCCTGGGTTCGATTCCCCAGCACCACATAAGCAAAAAGAAAAAAAAAGGAAGTGGCACTGTGGCTCAAGTGGTAGAGCGCTAGCCTTGAGCTAAAGAGCTGAGGGACAGCACCCAGGCCCAGAGTTCAGGCCCCACGACCGGACCCCCCCCCAAAAAAATTTTTTTTAATGCACCATTGAGTCCAGCTCTGAATACTGATCAAGCAATGCTTGGTCCAGTGCTACAGGAAAGATTCTAAGAACATTTCTAAGCAAGGATATGTAAATGGTCCAACAGTGGAAAAAACCTTAGTTTATAGTTCTGTGGATATAGCAAAACTCTGGATTATAATCCAGGTCTTCATTAACCATGTGAGTCTCTAATTTCTGTGGATAGATCCAACATTGGATCTCCCTTGTTGTTTAGCCATTCTTATACTTCAAGAATGAGACTTTTAAAAAAGGTATTGGTTTTATTTTCCTTTGGTGACAGTTCCAAAAGGGCCAGGAGTTGCAGCAACTGATGAAAAGGGTAGAGAAATTCCCTAGTGCCTGTCCTCGCTGGCTATGGGGAAGTGATGCCTTTCTTTTGATCTATGATCCTGACTACATGAAGGTGATTTTGGGGAGATCAGGTGAGAGTGAACCCTATCCCAGAGGCAGTAGCTCTTCTCTTGTGACTGCATGCTCTACAATCTCAAAATTTCAGAAGAAAGGTACAATTAAAATATCCATATGTGGAAATATGTAAACTTCTCATTCCTATCTCTTTCCCAGCCCACAAACTAACCTAGAGCCAATAATATTTACTGAGAACTAAATATCTTAAGTTCTATGTGGGCCTGAATTGATTTTCTTCTCGACCTCCCTTCCTTCCTTCCTTCCTTCCTTCCTTCCTTCCTTCCTTCCTTCCTTCCTTCCTTCTTTCCTTCCTTCCTTCCTTTCTTTCCTCCCTCTCTTCCCCTCCCTCATTCCTTCCATCCTTCCCTCCTTTTCTCCATCTCTCCTTTTTCTTTCTCCTTTACTACCTCCCTCCCTTCCTTTCATCTTTCCTTCCTTCCTTTTTCCCTTCCTTCTTATTGAGGTGCTTTGTTTTGTAAAGTGTCCACATCTGTAAGAAAAGCACCCATCTACATTGATTTGGGATTGAAACCTCAAATTGTTAGTTGTCCTTGTAATGGGTTGGCTGGGCCACTACCAACTGTAGAAATACAGCTGCTTACAAGCTGCCTTATATTGTATATGCCAGTTTCCTTTTAAGTTTTTCTCTTTTTTTTTTCAGACCCAAAATCTCTTTCCAGCTACAGAGTCCTAGCTCCCTGGCTTGGTACATACATCTAAGTGTGATCAATCCCCTTGGCAAGATATATTTTTCAGCCTCGTAGAGAGCAAGAATTGATGAGCTACTGCTGTCAAAACACATCCCTAAATGTGGTCTTGTTTCTCTTCATCTAATCAGACCTGCACCTTGTCACCATATTTACATGATTAGGCTCTAACCTCCATATGTCCTGAGTTATCTCCAGTCTTAACCTGACATTGCTTTAGGTCTCTTCTTGACAAGTTTGACCACTTTCAAGTTTGACAGCTCTCAATTGTATGAGCCCAGCAGGGAATTCACATTCTTGAAAATGCAAACTCTTTCATGAGTCCAAGAAATTCTCTTAGCTATTATCTTTTCCCAGAATCCCTACCCCCTTTATCTCCCCAATTTTCTTTCTGATTCCACCACTGACACATTCATGTACCAACCATTTCTGGCCCAGGCAATGGTTTGCTCCTGCTGAATGGGCAGACATGGTTTGAGCACCGGCGGATGTTGACCCCAGCTTTCCACTATGACATCCTGAAGCCCTACGTGGGAATCAAGGTGAATTCTGTCCAGGTGATGCTGGTGAGTCTGTCTAGCTCTCTCATGTCCAAATACCCAATCACAGCCCTCAGACAGATTTGATTCCTTAACACAGAAGCCATTATGGAATAAGACTTTTAGGCCACTAAGGTGATGCCACAATCCTCAAAGGTAACAGGACAGAAAGGACAGAAAATGATTAGAATGGATCTTTTTTTTTTTGGTCGGTCATGGGGCTTGAACTCTGGGCTTGGGCGCTGTCCCTGCGCTCTTTAGCTCAAGGCAAGCATTCTATCGCTTAAGCCACAGCACTACTTCTGGTTTTCTAGTGGTTTATTGGACATAAAAGTCTCACGGACTTTCCTGCCCGGGCTGGCTTTGAACCGTGATCCTCAGATCTCAGCTACCTGTGTAGCTAGGATTACAGGCATGAGCCACCGGTGCCCAGCTTAGAATGGATCTTAATAACACTGTTTCCACATTGTCCAAGGCAGAGAGCATCATAGTTGACATATGCCCAAGTCTGTATCAGCGTGTTCAAGGGGTGTAGTCAATCCTGCCAGACATCAGGACTGCATGTCCCTTGCTGGCCAAGTCCATGGTAGCATCACTATCAGGAGAGAATTCCAAAGATGTCACTCAATAAGCCCCAGGTTCTAGGCCTTCTGCATTGATGTGAGTACTCACATCAATTCTAGTCTACATTCTCAATGTGCAATGCCATCACTATCCAACAGGATTACTTTTGTTTATTTCTTTTTAGCAGCACAAGCTTGCTCAAAGTTTGCCATATGGGACCATATGGCTTCCTTAGTAGTTACAGTCTGGCTCTGCCAGCTTTATATGACTTTGAAAACAATTCAAATGTTTTCCCCCTTCAAATGGATGCTTCTTGCCCTTGTATCCTCACTGAGCCCTCAGCAAAACATATGGACTGCTTTTTGTTCTAAAATGATATTTTCTGACTTAACAAAGACAATTTTCCCAATTTCCCCAAATTCAAACTAATGACTACTATGAAAAATCATGCTTAATTTTATGAAACAAGTTTGTGAGGAAATCTGCATCCCTTTACTAATACTTGCTTTAGGGCCAAAATTCATTGGGATATGTCTACTTTATAAAGTAAAGACATCCTATTAGAATATGTAGAGAAACAGAAGCAAGCTGATCTTTTTATAGCATTGGCCACGTGGAGGAAATGAATGGGTCAATGTCCCTCACCCACCACAGGACAAATGGGAGAAGCTCAGCAGCCAAGAGTCCCCTCTGGAGATCTTCCAACACATCTCATTGATGACCCTGGACACCCTCATGAAGTGCGCCTTTAGCTACCAGGGTAGCGTCCAGTTGGATGGGTCAGTGACACCCCTAAAACTACTAACTGGTGGGGATTCACCTGAAATGAATCAGTTTGGATACCCCAAAAAAGATGAGATTTTTGATCCCAGACTTAAGCTAAGCTGTAATTCCAGACAAGACCAAATTCTGCTCAGCTACAGACCACTGATATAGGCATAAATCTGACTGCTTATGCCATCTTCTAAAGAACCAGATAAAACTGATAGGTGTCTCAGTGATTTGTGTACTTTACCATAAAGAGAGTTTCCACCCAGAATTCACTCTATGTCAAGGCTTTCCCTCATCTGTCTACCTGTTTGCCTTCTATCCTCCAGGAATTCCCAGTCCTACATTCAGGCCATTGAAGATCTGAAAAACCTGTCATTTTCCCGTCTGAGAAGTATCTTTCATCACAATGACATCATATACAGTCTGAACTTTGATGGCCGCTGGGCCAATCGTGCTGGCCAGATTGCCCATGAGCACACAGGTTCTCTCTGTGCATTCTGTCTCCTTTCTGTACCAGTCACAGGCAAAATGAGCTAGCCATGATCTCATTTCCAGAGGCAACTACTCTGATGCCCTTAAGGATCTGGGACATACTCATTCATGCTGGGTACTTCATTAGTGCAAATGTTGGGAGCTAAGATGTTGCAGATGTTGCTATGAAATTGGTGATGTTGCATGAGACCCATTCCAGTAAGCTCAAACTTGGCCTATGTTGCCTGTGCTTCGGAGGGAATTCCTGACCTGAATCAAAAGGTGCCATACTCCAAACCTTATCCCCTCGTACCTTGATTGCTCATAGGGCACCCAGAATGGGGCAAGAAGTACACAGGGTTTCTGGGGTTTGCTATAGTGTTTGGCAAATTTATTAACCACTGTCCTGGAATAGATTGAGTGATCAAGATGAGGAAGGCTCAGTTACAGGATGAGGGGGAGCTGGAGAAGATCAAGAAGAAGAGGCACTTGGATTTCTTGGATATCCGCCTGTTTGCCAAAGTAGGTTTGTGTGGCAGAAGTCTAAGGCTTTGCCCAGAAGTGCAGAGTGAGGTAAAACCTGTGTGTGTGTGTGTTTTTTTTTACTATAATCTCTTACAGCTGGAGAACGGGAGCAGCTTGTCTGATGAAGACCTGTGTGCTGAGGTGGACACTTTTATGTTTGAGGGACATGACACCACAGCCAGTGGCTTCTCCTGGATCTTGTATGCTCTGGCTACAAACCCACAGCATCAGCAGAGGTGCAGGGAAGAGGTAGAGAGCCTCCTTGGAGATGGAGCCTCCATCACTTGGTAAGTGACTACTACATAAGAGGTAGGAACATACTACCTGTCTGGTAGAGGGAACCACTGTGATTCCCAGGCTGTGTCTGTCCTTCAGGGTGAGCTTTGTTCTAGGAACCACTTGGACCAGATGCCCTATACTACTATGTGCATTAAGGAAGCCCTGAGACTCTATCCACCAGTACCAGCTGTGGGCAGAACGCTGAGCAAACCTGTCACCTTCCCTGATGGACGTTCCCTACCCAAAGGTACTAACTTCCTTGACTCACTCTCCTATGCCCTTCCTATGGATAATAACGGAGGTTTTTAGGCACTCAGCAAAGACAAGAGAGGATGGAAAGCCCATGTGTACTTCAGTTCTGAATCTCCTTCAGTCCTACTTTCCTTGTCAGTAAATCAGTACTTACTTTGTAGTTAGTATCACATGTATGAAATAGGGGAACTTGGTTAGAGAAACTTCAATACTTATTAGTTCCCCTTTAAAATCTAAGGAAATTTTCATTTCAGAACATTGGCATAAATCATTTGTAAGATGGCCTTCAATTCTGTTATTTATTGGAATAAAATCACAAGGTTCTTTAATTCTCCACTGTTAACAATCAACATTGGAGTCTTTGATCTTGTGATTGTAGCTCCCTTGATTGAATTATATGGTATTTCAGATTCTAATGCTCTAAGCTTTTATTTCTGACCAAAACATCACAACACACACAGACCACTTCTCTCTTCACTGTATACATTTTAATAATAATAAAAAAGAAGAAACACATTCTTTATATTGGACAGAGGATATCTATCTATCTATCTATATATATATCCATTGTGATATATGCAAAAGAAACTATCAGTTGACATAATGATGACCTAATTGTCAGGATCTGAGGTTGGGATACTAGGGAGATCTGGTTCTTTTCTTTTCTCAAGTGGAGGTAAATGAAGGTGTTATAAATTAGATGTAGTGTTGACTATAATAAGTCTTGGCTTGATGGCACAGAGAAGCTAATGGCCAGATCTGAGAGTCCTATTACGATAGAAAGACACTACTGCCTCATCTGCTACTGGGCTTTGTCTCTGCCTCGTAACACTCTAGTTTTGTGACAATAGGTTTCATTCAGTACCTCTGAGCCTTTGATGCCTTATCTAAAAGAAGAAGATACGAATGCCTTTCTGGGAAGGTGATTGTGAGTGCTAAATGAATTAATATATGTTCTCAACTGCTCAAATGATGATCAATGAAGCCAATAGTTTTATGCATGCATAGCTCCATCTTGTTGAAAGACAAAAAACACACAGATCTTGGGCATAACAAGTCTTCTCTTTGTCTCCTTACCTGCCCCACAGGTGTCATGCTCTTTCTCAGCTTTTATGCCCTTCACCATAACCCGAAGGTGTGGCCAAACCCAGAGGTATGAAGACACTGCAAAGTAGGAGGGGAAGATCTCTGAGGACCACCACCTCTTCTGACTCCCACCTGTAGTGTTACGCCCCTCATGCATTGCAAAGAAACTTGATCTCATTCCTTCCTGGCCCTTGTGCTTCCTTACAGGTGTTTGATCCTTTGCGGTTTGCACCTGGTTCTACCAGACACAGCCACTCCTTCCTGCCCTTCTCCGGAGGATCAAGGTGAGGCCTCTTTTGTTGTTAATGGAGTAGTGGAGAGGGAGGCGACAAGATGGCGGAGGAGAAGCTGGAATCTGAACAAGCTCTCGCATAGAAAGCAGTTTTAGAGTTCCAGTGAACAGTCCTAAGCCAGAGAAACACACCAAGTGTGCCATCACAGGACAGAGAGTTAGACAAGTGAGAGAAAGCCAAGGCAAGAATACACATCTGAGCACCAGCCAGCAGCCGGCGGCGACAGGGTCGCGGTGGAGACCGCAGCCGGGCGATACCTGAGCGCTCACACAGAGAGTCCGGGACGAAGGAGCCAGACGCAGCGGGCGAGCGGATTCTACTCAACACCAGCAAGAACCGACAAGGAGCAGACAGCTTCATCCTGCAGTTTGCAGATCAGAGACGACCCAGGATCCAAGACTCGGCGTGAGTAGAAGCCCGACATCCTCACTCCTTCTCAGGGAGCAGAGGAGGGAAGGCCACCCCTCCCACCCCCAGCACCGGTGATCTCCATCTTGGATACCGACAAAACTCGGCGGAGCTGCTAGCTCCAACTCAGGCCTTGGAGTAGTGGAAAAGAGTAGTCTAGGCACATTCCCAACGTTAGGCATTCTCTACATTGTTTTGTGGTAAAGTCAGGCATGTGGCTGCTTGTTGTTGTTTGTGGGGAAGAAGCCTCTTGGGGGTATGTCTGTCCCTGAAAAGAAGTGGTATTTCTGAACATATCCAAGAAAGGTTGACCTACTGCCCTCCCCAATGGCCTCCCAAATGCTAGTGTTGATAGCGTTCTTATGTTTCCTTTCACTTTAGGAGTGGGATGGTAGAAATTAGATCCTTTTTTTATGGAAATTGAATCTCAGGCATGTGCTTTTAGGTGCCACAATGCTTCAATGGTGTACTGTTCTCTTTCTACACATTTTCAACCCAGCTCACCACTTTTCTGCTTATTCTCTAGTCCCACAACCATTGCAGAAAGTGGTTGGCTGTTTGGGTTTGTTTACTTGATGTCTGTCTGGCATATAAATTTTCCAGTCAGATATCTGAGAGGTTGTAGGTAGCCCCTCTGTTGTAAGGTAAAATCTCAGTCACAAGAAAACAAAGCCACATTTTGAGAAGTCGAATTGGGAGTCTATTAGAAATCTGGAGTCTGTAGGTGGATTCTTGTCACAAAGACTTGCAGCCCCATACAGAGCCTACACCAAGCTTTTAAAGACAAAAACCACATGTTTGGGTGGTGACAAAGCCCCAACATAAACAAAGGCATCAGGAGCAGGCCTTCCAAGGGTGTTTACATATCCTCTTTGGGTCTAAACAACATGATACATTTGCACATCCTCTAAACAGAGCCTCCCTTGCTCTAGCAACTGAGCTAGTCATCTACAACTCAAAGGATGGCTTATCTCACTTTTAGACCTTTGAAACTGGGTAGAAAGCCCCCATCACCCAGCTAGGTGCCAGGATGTTGTGGCATCATCTAGACCTGGTCTCTCCCTACTTCATCTCAAAGAAAGGTTTACAGCAGTATACAGCACTTCATTTGTAGTATCTCCTAATTCAGTTTTAGACTCTATGTTAAACTTCCTATTCCCCTTATACTTTGTCCAAATTGTATAGATGAAACAATACCTGTATATTTTGAAATTACACTGCTAATTTGTTTCAATTTGCTAATGATCACTAATCAACTTCAAAAAGTATGAAAACAAGGACAGTATACTGCCTCTAAGGAAGACCTCACTATTTTTACCTGAAAGATTACACTGAAAGGTCCCTAACACATCCAGTTGAAACCCAGTAAAGCAGCTATAAACAAACAATTGTAGCCGGGTACCGGTGGCTCACGCCTGTAATCCTAGTTCCTCTGGAGGCTGAGATCTGAGTGAGGATTGGGGTTCAAAGCCAGCCCAGGCAGAAAATCCGTGAGACTCTTATCTCTAATAAAAACCACTAGAAAACTGGAAGTGGTGCTGTGGCTCAAGCGGTAGAGTGCTCGCCTTGAGCTGAAGAGCGTGGAGACTATGCCCAGGCCCAGAGTTCAAGCCCCACAACCAACCAAAACAAAAACAAAAAAACCCTCCAAACAATTGTAAACAGTCTTCGGTAATAATCCACAAAGGCTCAAGGAGTCCCCTGTGGAGTGTGAATTGCCATAAACCTTGTAGTATTAGTAGGAAACAGGACTGTTAGAATCATGATGATGTGAATTCTCCCAGGGCAGAACCATCTTTCTGCAAATAGGCTTTAAAGCAAACTGTTCATCCATCAATTTGATTTCCAGTATTTGGATTATCCTAGAACGAAGTATTTCCTTCTAGATATTGGCTGTAAATAATGTTGCTTGTACTAGGTACAGTAAAGTTAGGCAAATGCTTAGACATACCTAATATTTACTTTCTGTAAGGTAAATTAAATAGGTAGGTTTAATTAGGTAGCTGATGAAGAGAACACAATGGGGTATTCAGGCAAGAAGAAAAGTTTTATTACCAAACTGCTGCCCCACCATGCATGGTGGAGATGCATAGACTGAAAGGGTGGGTTGATGTCCCACCTTGGTTTAAATAGGGAAGGGGCAGGGAGAAGGTGCTGTCAGATGAGGGAAGGTGTGGCCACACTGAATGGGGTTGTGACTTCAAAGCCTGGGACCCTCCCTCAGTCCCATGGGAGACATGAGGAGGCTGCTCAGGATGTGATCTTGGAGGAGGGGGAGGTAACTGCTTCCAGGTCTGCCAGTTACCTAGGGCAGAGACTTAGGCTGGAAGTGTGGAAGCCAGGGCCTGCAGAGCCCGGGGCAGACCTTATACTTTCTATGCATTCCAATACGGTGAGTTTTTAAGGCGGGGGGGGGAGGAGGAGGAGAGGGGGTGTTGCTCTTTTTTTTGGGGGGGGTACAATGTTGGGTCTTTTACTCAGGGCCTGGGTATTGCACCTTAGGCTTTATCACTCAAGGCTGTCAGTCTACCACTTGAGCTATACCTCCACTTTTAGATGTTTGGCAGTTAATTGGAGATAGGTCTCATATTCAGGCTGGCTTTGAACTACAATCCGCAGAGCTCAGCCTCTTGAGTAGCTAGGACCACAGGCATGAGTCACTGGCACCCAGATTCTAATACAATGATTTAAAAGTTTTGTTTTCTTTGACAAGTCTTGTGCTAAGATATGGGAAACAGAGATATGTAATAATGCTTCTGATCATCAACAAGAAGGGAGAGGTTTTGTGCAGAATCAGATACCTACACTTGAGACAGACATCATCCTTTCTCCTTCCTTCACCCTGTCAGTCACTCACTGAGCTGTTTGTGGAATATTCCATGTTCCTGATATTGTCTCAGGCTTTGGACTGTGGAGGGTCCTTCAATAAAGAATTTCCCTTGAATATCTGGAAAGAAAAGGACTGTTGGCAAAGAAGTGAGAGCCAGCTGGTCATTAGCCCTTGGCCCTTAGGATTTGCAGGGAGTGGTGATAACAGCAGCCTCATCATGATCTGAGGTGAGAAGTGGGACTACGAAAGTAAGGTGCAGTCAGTATGGAAGCATCTGTACAATATCCTATCTAATAGAGGGCCTTGAGGGTCACAGGGGATGGTGGGGGCCAGAGAGACCAGTGAAATCCAGAAGGACTGAAGATGGCAAGCAAAGACATTTCTGGATTAAAATTCAAAATCTACCTATATATGCTGATGGACTGTGGGTTATGTGTGGAGTTTGACCAGTAAATGGGAGGTAGAGGAGGCTTCAGCTTGTAGATCTCCAACTCAATGTGTTTTCTAGGAGTTACTCATCGATATTTGGCTTCCTTCTCATAATCAAAGATCTTTTTAGGCTATAGATGGCAATACCTCCAATACCTTCTTGTATGGCCCAAACCAGTAGTTTTCACATTAGCGAATGGAGGAGTTAAACAATAACTCTTAAAATAATAATCATTATTAGCTTCTATCCCTTAAAGTGTTGTAACTTATTCAAACAGAGATCTCATCTTTGAGATCAAAAGTAGGGATTGATCTAGCTCTGGAAGAATGCACATTTTTGTCAAAGGTCAAAAATAATAAACCACAAAGGATGATCTATACAGCAGTGATACTCACTAGACACTATGTTGAAAATGAACTTGTGGGTAGGGGGTCAGAGTGGAAAAACTGGGAGAAAATGAGGGAAGAGGTGATACTGTTCAATACAAAATGTACTCATTACCTTACTTATGTAACTGTAATCCCTCTGTACATCACCTTTACAATAGTAATAAAAAATGTATGAACCAAGATCTTGGATAAAGGTGTGTGTGTGAGAGAGAGAGAGAGAGAGATAGAGACAGAGACAGACAGACAGACAGACAGACCGACAGACAAGACAGAAACAGAGACAGAGACTGAAAGACAGAAAGGGAAGGAGGGAGGGAGAGAGAGAAAGAGGGGGGGAGAGAGAGACAGAAACAGAGACAGAGACAGAGAGACAGAGACAGAAATACAGAGAGGAAAGGAAGGATGGAGGGAGGGAGGGAGAGAGAGAGGGAGGGAAAGAGTGAGAGAGAGAGAGAGAGAGAGAGAGAGAGAGAGCACGCATTGTGGAAGGGACAGATTCTATCTGAATCCATGAATGAGGGCCCTGACTGCTCACATGGGCTAGGGCTCTCAGGGCCAATCCCTGCCCAGGATAGAACAGGACCTGAGGCACTTCTCATTTTGTTTTCTCTACCTGGCCTAGGAACTGTATTGGGAAGCAATTTGTCATGAATGAGTTGAAGGTGGCTGTGGCCCTGACCCTGCTCCACTTTGAGCTGCTGCCAGATCCCACCAGGACTCCAGTCCCCATCACAAGAATTATACTGAAGTCTATCAGTGGGATCCACCTGTATCTCCAGAAGCTGCAGCAATCCTAGCAAGGACAGGCGCTGGGGACCTCCTGCTCACTGTTTCGTTTTCCTGTCACCTGCTTCTGTCCTTGGCTGTCTACCCACATTCCCTTCTTTGCATCTACCTGATATGGTATCTCTGTCCCCCTACTTGTCCTCTTATTTTCTCTCTTACCTTCCTCCAGGATCCCACCTCCTTATCTACCAATTTTTCTTCTTAATTGTCTTTATTTTAGAATGTCCTCTTAATCTCTGATCACTTATCTACCCTCTAGCCTGCCTGCCCTGACCTGTCTTCTCTTTGCACTATTTGCCTGTGTCTATATGATCTTCCTGTTTTGCTAAAATGAACTACCACCACTTTGATGGCTTTAAACCATACACACTTAAAACTCACAATTCTGGAGATTGAATATGGATAATTGTTTTCCTCTTCTTCCTTATTTCTATTGCTGGAGGTTTGTTTCAAGTACTCACAGTGACTGGATTTGTTATACCTAGAATATCAAGGATCATCTCTTGTACTTGAAGTCAACTAATCATAGATAGTATCTACAGCTACAACTCTTTTTTTTCTTTATTTTTTTAAATTTAATTTAATTTGTGAACATACTGTACAGAGGGGTTACAATTGCATGGGCAGGATAAT